CAATTGCTTTGATATTACATATTTAGATACTACATGTAGACCTTTCTCAGATTTGTTCATTTCGTGATGATATCTTGGATTCTATAATTTTGGTGAATATTTTTGTCATATTTGGTAAAAAGTGATATTTTCGACTTCTTGTTAAAAACTGTAAGTCCGATTGCTTTGATACTATACATATTGTTCATTTTCTGATGATGTTTTCAGTTCTTTAATTGAAATGTGCATTTCTAACAGCGGAGCTATCTCAGCCGATAGGCTGCTTGTTTAGCTCCGCTGTCGACTTTGTCGAGCGGAGCTTATCATATGAGTGATTGGTCTTCGTCGTCGTCCATGTCAATGTTTTACTTTTTTGACTTCTTCTTGAAAACTACAAGCCTGAATGCTTTGATACTTGGTGTATATGTACCTTGAGCAGACCTCTCTTAGGTTTGTTCATTTCATGTTGATATCTTCAATTCTCTAATTTTGGTGAATATTTTTGTCATTTTTGGTAAAAAGTGATATTTTCGACTTCTTGTTAAAAACCGCAAGTGCAATTGCTTTGATATTACATATATAGGTACTACATGTGGACCACTCTCAAATTTGTTCATTTCATGATGACACTTCAATTCTCTAATTTTGATGAATATTTTTGTCATTTTTGGTAAAAAGTGATATTTTCGACTTCTTGTTAAAAACCGCAAGTGCAATTGCTTTGATATTACATATATAGGTACTACATGTGGACATGTCTTTCAGATTTGTTCATTTTGTAATGATATCTTTAATTCTCTAATTTTGGTGAATATTTTTGTCATTTTTGGTAAAAAGTGGTATTTTCGACTTCTTGTTAAAAACCGCAAGTGCAATTGCTTTGATATTACATATATAGGTACTACATGTAGACCTCTCTCAGATTTGTTCATTTTGTAATGATATCTTTAATTCTCTAATTTTGGTGAATATTTTTGTCATTTTTGGTAAAAAGTGATATTTTCGACTTCTTGTTAAAAACCGCAAGTGCAATTGCTTTGAGATTACATATATAGGTACTACATGTGGACCTCTCTCAGAATTGTTCATTTTGTAATGATATCTTTAATTCTCTAATTTTGGTGAATATTTTTATCATTTTTGGTAAAAAGTAATATTTTCGACTTCTTGTTAAAAGCCAATCGTTCAATTGCTTTGATATTACATATTTAGATACTACATGTAGACCTTTCTCAGATTTGTTCATTTCGTGATGATATCTTGGATTCTATAATTTTGGTGAATATTTTTGTCATTTTTGGTAAAAAGTGATATTTTCGACTTCTTGTTAAAAACCGCAAGTGCAATTGCTTTGAGATTACATATATAGGTACTACATGTGGACCTCTCTC